TACGTCTTCTAAGCACATCTCCAAAGAAACGAGAGCTTTAAATGATACACTGGACCCGATGGATTTCACAGATATCTACAGAACTTTACATCCAAACTCAACTGAATACACATTCTTCTCAAGTGCACATGGAACTTTCTCCAGAATAAACCACATACTGGGTCACAAATCAGGACTTCACGAATACCAAAAGATTGGGATCGTCCCCTGCATATTCTCAGACCATAATGCCTTGAAATTAGAACTAAATCACAACAAGAAGTTTGGAAGGACCTCAAACACGTGGAGGTTAAGGACCATCCTGCTAAAAGATGAAAGGGTCAACCAGGAAATTAAGGAAGAATTAAAAAGATTCATGGAAACTAATGAGAATGAAGATACAAGTGTTCAAAATCTTTGGGATGCAGCAAAAGCAGTCCTGAGGGGGAAATACATTGCAATACAAGCATCCATTCAAAAACTGGAAAGAACTCAAATACAAAAACTAACCTTACACATAAAGGAGCTAGAGAAAAAACAGCAAATAGACCCTACGCCCAGCAGAAGAAGAGAGTTAATTAAAATTCGATCAGAACTCAACGAAATCGAGACCACAAGAACTGTGGAACAGATCAACAGAACCAGGAGTTGGTTCTTTGAAAGAATTAATAAGATAGGTAAACCATTAGCCAACCTTATTAAAAAGAAGAGAGAGAAGACTCAAATTAATAAAATCATGAATGAGAAAGGAGAGATCACTACCAACACGAAGGAAATACAAACGATTTTAAAAACATATTATGAACAGCTATACGCCAATAAATTAGGCAATCTAGAAGAAATGGACGCATTCCTGGAAAGCCACAAACTACCAAAACTGGAACAGGAAGAAATAGAAAACCTGAACAGGCCGATAACCAGGGAGGAAATTGAAGCAGTCATCAAAAACCTCCCAAGACACAAGAGTCCAGGGCCAGATGGCTTCCCAGGGGAATTCTATCAAATGTTTAAAGAAGAAATCATACCTATTCTACTAAAGCTGTTTGGATAGGAAGAGATGGAGTACTTCCAAATTCGTTCTATGAAGCCAACATCACCTTAATTCCAAAACCAGACAAAGACCCCACCAAAAAGGAGAATTACAGACCAATATCCCTGATGAACATGGATGCAAAAATTCTCAACAAGATACTAGCCAATAGGATCCAACAACACATTAAGAAAATTATTCACCATGACCAAGTAGGATTTATCCCAGGGACACAAGGCTGGTTCAACACTCGTAAAACAATCAATGTGATTCATCATATCAGCAACAGAAAAAATAAGAACCATATGATCCTCTCATTAGATGCAGAGAAAGCATTTGACAAAACACAGCATCCATTCCTGATCAAAACTCTTGAGACTGTAGGGATAGAGGGAACATTCCTCAACATCTTAAAAGCCATCTACTAAAAGACCACAGCAAATATCATTCTCAATGGGGAAGCACTGGGAGCCTTTCCCCTAAGATCAGGAACAAGACAGGGATGTCCACTCTCACCACTGCTGTTCAACACAGTACTGGAAGTCCTAGCCTCAGCAATCAGACAACAAAAAGACATTAAAGGCATTCAAATTGGCAAAGAAGAAGTCAAACTCTCCCTCTTCGCCTATGACATGATACTCTACATAGAAAACCCAAAAGCCTCCACACCAAGATTGCTAGAACTCATACAGCAATTTGGTAGCGTGGCAGGATACAAAATCAATGCCCAGAAATCAATGGCATTTCTATACACTAACAATGAGACTGAAGAAAGAGATATTAAGGAGTCAATCCCATTTACAATTGCACCCAAAAGCATAAGATACCTAGGAATAAGCCTAACCAAAGAGGTAAAGGATCTATACCCTAAAAACTATAGAACACTTCTGAAAGAAATTGAGGAAGACACAAAGAGATGGCAAAATATTCCATGCTCATGGATTGGCAGAATTAATATTGTGAAAATTTCAATGTTACCCAGGGCAATTTACATGTTTAATGCAATCCCTATCAAAATACCATGGACTTTCTTCAGAGAGTTAGAACAAATTATTTTAAGATTTGTGTGGAATCAGAAAAAACCCCGAATAGCCAGGGGAATTTTAAAAAAGAAAACCATAGCTGGGGGCATCACAATACCAGATTTCAGGTTGTACTATAAAGCTGTGGTCATCAAGACAGTGTGGTACTGGCACAAAAACAGACACATAGATCAATGGAACAGAATAGAGAACCCAGAAGTGGACCCTGAACTTTATGGTCAACTAATATTCGATAAAGGAGGAAAGACTATCCAGTGGAAATAAGACAGTCTCTTCAATAAATGGTGCTGGGAAAATTGGACATCCACATGCAGAAGAATGAAACTAGACCACTCTCTTGCACCAGACACAAAGAAAAACTCAAAATGGATGAAAGATCTAAATGTGAGACAAGATTCCATCAAAATCCTAGAGGAGAACACAGGCAACACCCTTTTTGAACTCAGCCACAGTAACTTCTTGCAAGATACATCCACCAAGGCAAAAGAAACAAAAGCAAAAACGAACTATTGGGACTTCCTCAAGATAAGAAGCTTTTGCACAGCAAAGGATACAGTCAACAAAACTAAGACAACCTACAGAATGGGAGAAGATATTTGCAAATGACGTATCAGATAAAGGGCTAGTTTCCAAAATCTATAAAGAACTTATTAAACTCAACACCAAAGAAACAAACAATCCAATCATGAAATGGGCAAAAGACATGAACAGAAATCTCATAGAGGAAGACATAGACATGGCCAACATGCACATGAGAAAATGCTCTGCATCACTTGCCCTCAGGGAAATACAAATCAAAACCACAATGAGATACCACCTCACACCAGTGAGAATGGGGAAAATTAACAAGGCAGGAAACCACAAATGTGGAGAGGATGCGGAGAAAAGGGAACCCTCTTACACTGTTGGTGGGAATGTGAACTGGTGCAGCCACTCTGGAAAACTGTGTGGAGGTTCCTCAAAGAGGTAAAAATAGACCTGCCCTATGACCCAGCAATTGCACTGTTGGGATTTACCCCAAAGATTCAGATGCAATGAAACGCTGGGACACCTGCACCCCGATGTTTCTAGCAGCCATGTCCACAATAGCCAAACTGTGGAAGGAGCCTCGGTGTCCATCGAAAGATGAATGGATAAAGAAGATGTGGTTTATGTATACAATGGAATATTACTCAGCCATTAGAAATGACAAATACCCACCATTTGCTTCAACGTGGATGGAACTGAAGGGTATTATGCTGAGTGAAGTAAGTCAATCGGAGAAGGACAAACAGTGTATGTTCTCATTCATTTGGGGAATATAAATAATAGTGAAAGGGAATATAAGGGAAGGGAGAAGAAATGTGTGGGAAATATCAGAAAGGGAGACAGAACATAAAGACTCCTAACTCTGGGAAATGAACTAGGGGTGGTGGAAGGGGAGGAGGGCGGGGGGTGGGGGTGAATGGGTGACGGGCACTGAGGGGGACACTTGACGGGATGAGCACTGGGTGTTATTCTGTATGTTGGTAAATTGAACACCAATAAAAAATTAATTTATTAAAAAAAAATGAGGGAGCATCTTTAGCATCAGACCCATAAACACAAAGACCTGACGGCTGCCAGAGAGAAATGGGGCAGTGGATGGGCAAAGGGCAATAGGAGACACAGGCTTCAAGAAATCATGGTGATAAAAGGTACAGAATAGAAAACACAGGCCACGACAATGTATTGTAATAGTGTTGTACGGTATGGATGGAAGCTTCACTTGTGGGGAGCACAGTGTAATGTATGCAGAAGCTGAATCACTATGTTGTACCCTTGGAGCTAACGTAACACTGTTAGATCAACTATACTCAAAAACTCGTGTGTGTGTGTGTGTGTGTGTGTGTGTGTGTGTGTTTGTGTGTGTGTGTATAAACATATAGAAAGAGTTTTCAGTATATGAGAAAGAGCATGTTTATCTATTAGCATATCTGTTTTGGCTACTTAAAATAGAAGTTGCTTTAGTTCATATTTCAGAAAAATGTCAGAAAAGAAAGTTTTTGAGGATCAATAGTAGTGAAACAAATTTTTAGATCTGTTATTGCTAATTCTGTATATGTTTTGAGATTAATCAACCAAAAGATGTTGGAAAATTACTTCTGAGAGAAAGTCATTCGCATCAATTACCTTCTTCTAGGCAGAAAGTAAAATGAAGTCCCTTATAAAGCATTCTACTATAAAATTAACTTTAGCTCCTTTACAGAAAACCTGCTATTAACCCAAAATTATGGTAATAAGATACACATAGAGGGGAAGGAACCCGAATTTATTTCCATATGTAAAATATATAAACCTACAAATAGGTAGCTAATTAGAATTCTAATAAAATAATACACAAATATATACATTTATCTTCCTGCTCTTCTTCCTACCACCTTGGCTGACCGAACTAATGATTACACTGTATTTCCTTTCTTTTTGTTAAAGCACTACATTGAAACTAATCCTTGGAAGTTGTGGATGGGTTCTCTCATATGCTACGAAGTTTGGTAAGCTTCAGTGAGAGTTTTTAAACTCATAAAATTAAGACGTTTTAAGTTCCGTTCAATAAAGGTTCTTGTATTATCATGCCAAAACTCTTAGAATTCCACTATTGCCAGTAATTAACAAGTTCAAGAAATTAAGACGCATAAAACACATCACAAGTCAGATCAGTAACGATATGTTTGTCCAACATTTTATCCACGAGAATTCCTAATATTTGTGTGCACTGACAGTACAAAGAAAATTTAGATTCAGAATGACAGCTTCAAAACACCATAAAACTTTTCTTGTGAGTAGAAGAAATACCACTTTATTTACTCAGGAAAAATAGCTATCCCTCTAGGATATTTCTGAGAACCTCATTAGCTAGATCAACACTTTCTGATCCCACTGGATTAGAGAAAAATTAAAGGAATCCAAACTATCATAAATGTGTTTACCTCCATCCAGACTCCTGGAGACCCGCTTGCTGGAGGTACGCTCAAAGTGTGGCGCTGGCCTGTCAATGAGGGTGCTTGCCTGGCGGGTCTGGGCTTGGGTGCGGCCGCTGTAGCGGAACTTGGACCCCAACGTCAGGAACTTGGCCTTTGGTGGCTGCTCTGGAGACACAAGCCTGTAGGGAGAAACAAAGAAATGAAATAGGAGCCTTTATGAGTTTTCTTTTAAAAAAAAATGTTGAAACTTTATATTTTAATATCCCATTTTACTAAATAAGATTACTCAATTTAAAGAGCAAAGGGCTTCCTAAACTTTCTAATGAAAAAGAACATTTATAAACCCTCCTACATACAGCTTTAGGATAGTGATAAGATGACTAAATCCACATTCATGTATTCACGAGTAATACGTTCTCCTCAACCTGAAGAAAAGAGCAGCTGTTCTCAGTGTATATCAAAGGCTATTTATTTGTATTAGCTTAAATCCTTTCTATAAACACATATGTCTGAATTCTTGCTCCCAGCTCTGAGTGCCAAGTAGCAATCCATTACCATTAGTAATTCTCAATACTTATGTCTATTCCTCCTGGGAAAGGACATCCAACTCAGGAATCCCATTCCATCAAGGGATGCTTTCCCATGAAGAACACGGCACACAGTAGATCTGTAGAGATGACGAACAGCCTTTCTTGCCAGCACAATTCCAGTGCTTAAGCCCGGGGTTTGTAATAAATGAAGGCAAACTTTCTTGATGTCAAATACTTCCAGACTTATGCAAAAGTATGTTTTTGGTAAGTAACCCAATCTCGTCTGGCATACAACTGGAATTGTCTCACTTCCATTGTCTAATCACGAGTTGGCCAAATGTCTTAACAAAAAATGATAAACTTGGAGCTCTTATAGCATTTATTAAATAAGACAGCTGTAGTTGACAATTCCAGAATATAAGCTCCAACAAAATTTTTCCTTTCATTCCCAAAGAGTGATTTCTTAAAGAGTTCGTTACCATTTCAAGTATTTTTAGACCTTCTGCTCAGTTTTTTTTTTAAAGAAACTGTCTTCTGTTTAAAGACAACAAAGAGATTCAAGTCGAGTTAAAGCTACTTGTGATAGTGCAACAGGCAATCCTCCATGAATTCTCAAGGATATTAACCCAGAAAAACAATGTATTGAGATTAAACCAGTGAAAGAAGAATCAATACTCTCTGGCCTTCTTGGTGGTGATCTATTCATGTAAGGTAGCAGGCAAGTTTCTTGAAAACTTCCATTTTCTGCCAAAAGACTTTCAAAGGAGACACAGATGCTGCTGGTGAGAAAAATCTACTCTGATCATGGCCAGTGCCTCAATTTGCACTTTGGGAAAAGCTGTATATTCTTAAATTAGAATTCTGGAATACTAGAAATTTGGCCAGAACAGAATTCTTATTTGTGCTCTGATTTATTTTTTTCAAACAGTTGGGGAAACTAAGGCACCAGAAAGACTGAATATTTCAGCATCCAGATCATGAATAAGAGAGGCAGGGTGAGAAACGTGGTCATTTAGCAAGCACTCCCTCTTGAATTGACTATGACAGGCTTTCCCTACCTAGGGAAAAGAGGATTTTAGGATTGTAGAGAGGATCTAACAATGCTCTGTAAGAAAGCAGTGATCTATAGAAGAGAAAGGGTCACTGGCAGGCTCATCACTTCAATAATAAAGAAACGTTCATTCTTGGGGCACCTGGGTGGCTCAGTCAGTTAACGTCCGACTCTTTGTTTCAGCTCATGTTGTGATCTTAGGGTTGTGAGATCGAGCCCCACATCAGGCTCTGCACTGAGCATGGAGTCTGCTTAATATTCTCTCTCCCCCATTCTCTTTCTCCCCTTCCTCTCAAAAAAAAAATCATTCTTGGAAAACAAGTTAACTAAATCACATATATCTTTATCATGTATTCATGCAGTATACTCTATACTTAATGGGATATAAACCAGCAGAAAAAAGTATGTCTAAAGTATACCTCAAAGGGGAAATTAGCATTGGTGACCCCAAAGAAACTATCCCACCCCCCAAAATTGTTAAGCTAAAGACAACAAGTGTTGGCAAGGAAGTGGAGAAATTAGGACTCTTGCACACTGCTGGTGGGAATGCACCGTGGTGCAGAAGTTATGGAAAACAGTAGAGAGGTTCCTCAAAATATTAAACAGAATGGCCACACAATCCAACAGTCCTACTTCTGGATATTTATAAAAAAATAATAATAATAAAATAAAAATAAAAGTAAATAAATAAATAAAAACCCTGAAACCAGGATCTCGAAGAGAAATCATTAGCACTCCCATGTTCATGGCAGCACTACTCACAATAGTGGAGACGTGGAGACATAAACATGCACTGAGAGATGGATGGATAGAGAAGATGCAGTATATGCTCCGAGCAGACTCACGAGGAAAATTCTGTAATAATGACAACACGGATGGACCTTGAGGACATCACGCGGAGTGAAATGAGCCAGACACAGAAGGACACGTGATTCCATTTGTATAAGGAAGCAGAACGGTCAAATTCATGGATTCAGAGACTGGAATGGTGGCTCCAGAGGCCGGCAGGAGAGGGAAATGGGGAGCTATTAGTCACTGGGCGTAAAGCCTCAGTGAGGATGAAGCTCTGGCATTCGGGTGCACAACACACACCTATGGTCAACAGCATCTCATACACGTGAAGTCTAAGAGGACAACCACACATTATCTCACCCAATGAAGTATACTTATTCAAAAACAAAATAAAAGATGGAAAAGTAAAGAGAAGAGTGAGGCTGGGGAATCTGGCATCCATCTGTAGGTTCACCTTCGTTGGCTTCATCTCTTGAAGGCCGGGTCTTCCTAGACCGACCAGCTTCCCATGAGGATTTACTGGTAGCTCCCATTTCCAGTCCCATTAACTGTGGGCCTAGGGATGTTTTCAAATCCTAACCATGAAACCCTACTCAAATTAAAAAAAAAAATTAAACTAGAAACAGGATGATACCTGCTTGTGGGAATTATTAAAAATATTTGAAGAATTTTCTTCTTTTTTTTTTTTTTTTACAAAATTGAACTCACGAAGAAAGAAGATTGAGAAGTTTCAGTCTTCAGAAAATAATTTTAAACTTAAGAAAAACTTGGTGATTGCTGACTTTCTGGTTATTAGTTTATCTTCTATAACCTCACATGGATCTGTGCTAGGTCCCAAATACAGCAGGTACTCAATACAGGTCAGATTATCAGAAAGAATCCCATTGTCAAAGTTTCCTTGAGGGCACTTGAATTTAAGTAGCCAGAAAACCCAAAGACATGTCCACCTATCCATTTCTCAGAATTCTCCTCCTTACTATTATGTAATCACAGCATTGAAGTTCATTCTCTTACGCTGGGATTTTAGAGAAGGGAAGTTGGGCTGTAAGTTCTAGAACATCTAACACACTGAGAGAACGAGTGCTCAATATTTCAGTCTTAATTTAATAAACAAAACAATCCCAGTGCTACAAAAAGCCCTTTGCAAAATGAAGTTGTTGGTTTTATTTTTTCTCCTGGTTATGAAAGCGGGCTCTCGTTTATATAGACTGGGATATGTGACCAGCTAAACACCTAAGTCCAAGTAAGGAGAATTCTGTACAACCGTATTTCTTTACGTCTAATTTGCTTTTAAGGTAACAGACGACTGGCGGCCATTTAAATACATACCAGATTATCCACTTATGCATTTTGTAAAAGATACTTCAAAAGTATAAAGCCATGAAATACAAGGCAAGTATTTTAAAGGCATATATCCATCGCAATGTGAAATTAGGAAGGGATTTTTATTTTATTTAACTTGAGATAAAATACTTCCTCGCCCAAGTGGCACAGGTGACCACACACACAAAGTGGTAGCTTGCTGATTGTTTTTCTGACAACAAAAAACTTCTTAAGTAATTAAGTTGCAATTAGAGAACACAAATATCAAAACAAAAATGGACCGATCACAGACCTTAGCGTTTTCTAAAATAATATTTTTGGTGACTTGAGTCAATGGTAATGCAAATAAGTCTTCTACAAAAATGTAGGCCAGGCAACAAAATGTTTCAAGGTCACTGAACAATTATTTCCTTTTGATATTACTTTTATTTACCAACCGAGGCTCTACCTTCATAAAAACAACATCAAAATCACTACAAGACCTCTAACATCTCACTCTTGGGAATTTAAAAGCTGTAAATAAGGAACTAATCATCCTAGAGTTTTAAAGGTGCTGAGCAAGATGATGTAATGATACGTCACAAAAGAAATCGACTTTTACATATTTTACTGCTTAAGCACAGTGACATTTTAATTTTACAAAAATTCTATTATAAATAAAATATCATTAAAGTTTTTACACTGTGGTAAGTAAAGGAACCTTCTAAAAAACCCCAAAAGTCAGTTACTAAAGTCAATCATTACACAGTTAACAATAGAGCTCTCCCTGAAGCGGCTGATGATGCTAATTCACTTGGAATTACTCTGGATCTACAAGGTCAAGTCTAAACTGCAGTTTCATGCCAAGCTAGGGGAATGTGTTAAAGCTGGTTACATGCTGCGCCGCCACCAGAGCCGCTGCCACCATTGCTGCCACTGCCACCACCACCAGCACCACCAGCACTGCCGCTGCCACTACCACCACCAGCACCAGCACCACCAGCACCACCGCCGCCACCACCAGCGCCGCCACCACCAGCGCCGCCACCACCAGCGCCGCCACCTCCAGCACCAGAAAAAAGCAGTGGGGGTAGGGAGAAGGAAGCCCATCCACCATAAACACGGTCAGGAAGCATGGCTCAGTGGGTATGCTCATGGGCACCCTAAGCCACAGGGCCCGGCTCTAAATTCCATCCCCACCCATGACTGTCCATAGGACCAGGGGCAGGCTTAACTTCTACATTTGGAAAGACTGACAAACATAAAGATTACAACAATGCTGTAAAGATTAAAAGAACTCTCAGCAGGCTGACAGGCTCCATCAAACACTCACAGGAGAGTAACAGCTCTATTATTATGTTCTTACTCCACTAATACTAGTCTGGCTGAGCGGCTATCAATCAATACAAAGTTTTGCTTCTTTAATGGCTTCAATCTGAACACAACTTTTAATTTTCTGAAGATATCATTTGCATCTTTGGTGATAAAATAAAGCAGAACAAAATCCAGATTTGATTCCAAGCACTGTGTGGACGAATTACGATGCCTTGCTTTAGCTACATTGCTTCCTGTCACGTGTAAGCAAAGTTACCCCAGGTTTACAGATCTAAAAGTCCTCTCGTTAACCATTACCTCAAAAGTGTGCAGGAGCAAACTGGTCTACTTTGACACTGGAGTCACGGTAGGTCAGCGAAAATGGAGAAGCCTGAGGCTTTGCAGGGCTAATAGACACTTCAGAAATGCTTGCTAGAGGAATACCAGAGGAAGGACAGCAGGGAGGTGACCAGTGTGGGCTTTGTAGTCGCAGAGCTGGGCCCTCAGCTCTGCCCAGGCACCTGGCCCATGACCCTTATGGGCGCCCAGCTCTCAGCCCCCTGCTCCGTGGGGTGAACAAGAAATGAGATGGCGCGATGCAAAGCAAGTGCTTACGTGCCTGACAACGGTACATGTTCAACGAATGTAGCGCTCGTCATTTCTAAGATAATTATCGTTTCCGTTACCAGTACCTGACAGGGAAGCCCGCTATCTACCCTGCCTTGACCTGTGTCGTTTAACTCATAAGTGGTATCCACCAGGCTTCTGGGAGGTAGTCTCACGTTGTCTTGAGGAGAAATGTCATGGCTACCAAGGGAAATGATCAACTAACAACTAATGTGCTCACTGTAACCAGGTCAGATGGATTCAAATATGTTTTATGGGGATCCCCAGGTGGCTCAGCGGTTTAGCGCCACCTTCAGCCCAGGGCCTGATCCTGGAGACCCGGGATCGAGTCCCACGTCGGGCTCCTTGCATGGAGCCTGCTTCTCCCTCTGCCTGTGTCTCTGCCTCTCTCTCTCTCTCTGTGTCTCTCATGAATAAATAAATAAATAAAATCTTAAAAAAAATAAAAAATAAAAAATAAATAAAATTACCTGTAGAAAGTATGATGCTCCACACACACTTTCCATAGCCTTTTTGCCGCCCGATGGTTTGGCAGTTTGAATCCAATGGTGCTCTCAAATTGTTCGAGCTGGAATAAATCAACACAATAAATCAGCGTTATTTCCTTAGAAGTTGATTGGAAGCTACCGAAAAACAGGCTAAGAGTATTCTGAAAGAATTTAATCCTTCTTGGTGAAAGGAGGTATTAGCAGACACAGCGTAATTATACAAAATGAATTTCCCATAGGCCACAATGCTAGTTTCCGTGAAGAGCAAGTACAAGCACAGACTCCGACCTGTGTCTGTGTCCGCACAACTCCTCCTACCACCTTCCTGTCGATCTCCACCACTTGTTTGACAACAAGATAACGGGCCCACCTTGTGGAGGCACTTACTACGTTTCCATTTGGCCAAAATGTGGGGAAGGGGCCCCTCCTGCTTATTTCTTTACCTCCAGCAACATGGATATGCATGCAGTTTTATCATTAAGAACTCTGACCTTTTTTGCTTTGAAAGAATAAGGAATAGTTCATTTGTAAAATTCAGTAGGAAAAAAAAAAACGCAGCTAGCCCGCGGCCGTGAGAACAGTGACCCACGCTGTCTGGATACGCCTGCCTGCCCGCACGCCCGACAGTGCTTACCTCTGCGGGCCTGACTTTAATGTAGAAGTTACTGCGCTTATAGGAGATTTTCAAGATTTTCGGCCAAGCAAAGCGATTGATTCTCAGTCTGTCTTTGTAAATGAGGAGCCCATTGGCGCACACCCCCAGCTTGATGTCCACGCCTTCCGAGTCCTGCCAAGCAGAGGCCATTTGACGGGGGTTAGAGCTGCAGTCGCACGGGCCAGGACGCTCATTACCCCCTTTCCCCCCAACCAGGACCAGGACCCCCGATGCTGCAGGTTGGTATTTAAATCTCCGCGACAGCGCCCAGGGCAGTAGGAACAGCAGGACACGTGACGCCTTCCGAGGTCAAATCTGCTTGGCCAACGAGGTACAGCCCTGGCCACAGGGCACAGTATTCTCCACAAGGCGGGACCTGAATGTTCCTGAGCCTGCCGGCCTGGGCCTCGGGATCTGCGACCGCCGACAAGGTGCCCCCACTTGGGAGCCGGGGCTGGGGCATGTCCCCGTGACCACGAGGGCTCCTCCGCACGCCTGCAGCTCTCGGGGGTCCGCGGGGATCCCCTGGCCTGTCCTACCAAGAGGCGGCGCGCAGCACCCGCAGCTGAGCCTCTGTGTTGGCTCCGGGGTCTCCCCACGGTCCCCACTCATCAGGGACCACAGTCCTGTGGCATCGGGCTCCCTGCCCAGCGCACATCAGCACCCCCTGCCCACCCCGGCCTGCTCCTGCTCTCCCTCTCTCTCTCAAAAAAAACAACTTTCAATAAAAAAAAAAAAATCTTATTTAAATATAATTGAGACAATGGAAGATGTACAAGGGCACAAATTTCAAACTCCACCAAAAACTCGTCTGAATTGGCCCAGACCTCCTTTTCTAGGAGCTTTGAATACCTTCCTCATCGTGAGCAAAAAACAACTCCAAGCCCCGCAAACCCTACTGAAAAAAAACGCGTCAGGGTTCAAGCGCTCGGAGGTGGAGTTTTTTTTAAAGGAAATAAGAAAATGTTTCAAAATAGCAATCGTGCCTACTTTGCATAAAGAGATTTCAGTGTTTTTACCCCTTCTGTTTGCTTCTATTTTCTGTAACGTGTATATAGATCACTTGTGTAACCAGGAAAAACAGTTAAGGGATAAAGAGCCACTGGGGGGTAAGTGCTCTGCAAACACCAAGTCCTATCAACAGCTCAACAGGAGTAATGAGCCCTTCGGGTGGGGCCTCTCCGAGAGAAATCACAGGATCACACAAGCAGAGGTTCCTGGGCTGCATCTAGGGACCCGCAGGGTCTTTTAAAAACCAGGCAGCTGGGCAGCCCAGGGGGGCTTAGCGGTTTAGCATCTGCCTTAGGCCCAGGTTGTGATCCTAGAGACCCCGGATGAAGTCCCGCATCGGGCTCCCGCATGGAGCCTGCGTCTCCCTCTGCCTGTGTCTCTGCCTCTCTCTCTCGGTCTCTCACAAATAAAATCTTAAAAAATAAAATAAAATAAAAAAATAAAAACCAGGCAGCCGTTGGTTGCCCCGACGTGCAGGCTGTGGATGCGGTTTTCAAGACCAAATCCGCCTTTCTCCTTGCTGCTGCTCTGCTCCCGGACTCTCCCCGGCTCTGCGATCGCTGGAACCAGGGTCATGGAGCCTGTGATGCTTACGAGAGGTACTTCCCAACCCAATCCTTCCATCGCCCGGCTCGTCATTACATCTCCTGTCCCTTCTCCGAGGCTCCGTGCTGCAGCCCCGGGGCCCGGCCCGTCTCCTGCGTCTCAGCAAGTACAGAAGGGACCTGTGGCGAAGGGCCTGACCCTTGGGCTCCTTCATAAGCCACAAGAGGTCTGCAGAGGAATTACATCCATACGGCTTTCGCCCTCGCGGTTGCCAGCATCTGCTCTTCTCTCCCCCAAGACGGAAGCGGAGAGGGGCTGGGGCGAGGCAGCACTGACACAGCAGAAGCCGGGATGCAGTGTAAACCAGGATGGGGGTGGAGACGGCAGGCACGGGAGTCTTAGGATAAGCACGTGTGGCAAGGGCACCAACCGAAAAGAGGTAGGGTGGGAATGAGTGGTCCTTCGCACCAGCATAAACCCCACTGTGAGCAGAGGGGGACGGCCCTTTCCTAGGGTGAGCCGGGCCACTCTGAGCCCCAGAGCTACTGGGACTCCCGGGGCCACTCCTCCCAGAACGTTCGCCGGCAGACGGGCAAGACGCTGCTTGGCGCAGCCTGGATGGTACCTTGGCATGATGCAGGTCGACACCGTACATGGAGAGCCTCTTGGCATTTTCTAGGAACTGAGAATCAGCTTGTGCTGGAGATAAGCCCCTGGGAATCAAAACAGACAAGATCATCTCATCGGCAGATGGAAAACAGATGTGGTCAATACGGGAAAAGAGCACGAGCTCAGGGTTCAGGGCAGAGGCGGCAACCCTGAAAAACCTGCAAACAAGCAGGGAACGGGCCAGAAGGCTCACCTCTGCACCTCAGGCGGTTTTCCTCCCAAGATAAAAAGGGTAAAGAGTAGAGATTGAGGTTATTTGAGAAAACTGCTTTCATTTTTTTTTTCCTCACTCACCGGGGAAATGGGTGCAACATCAATTATCTGATAATAAAAAAGTGATCTCATCTTTCTGAAAAAAGGCAAATTCTTACTTCCTACTCCTTCATTTTATTCCGCTAGGATTGATCCTAATACGGCCCGGAAGTACTTGTATCTGGTGTCACAGCTACGGGAGTTGATACGTTCCACATCCCGTAACTGGAATCCTCTATCCCGTCTCTAGTCTCAGCCCCATGGAGACTCGGCCCACAGAGCAGGACCCTGTAGCCCACATGGTATTTCAACACCTGCTACTTCAAATCTGAATTCTATAATAAATACCTATTGAGCAGAATTAGAACAAAGTTAATAAGAATCACTGCCCTTCTTTCTTACGGACAGGTCACATAATGTGGTCCAAGGACTTCTAATCTCTGAAAGTTCCTTTCCCAACATTTTTGTCAGATTTTTATGAAATTTCAATCTTGCAATATGGGACAAACCATAATTTTGTAGTGAGTTTTCTGAACTTCTGTCAAAAACATTTATTTTCACAAAGATATACAAGTTCTTGAAATGTAATTATTTACTACGATGTTAAGTAAGTAAAGTCCAGCTGCCCAGCCAAGGGTCACCTCCTGCGGCCGGAGAGAACACCCGTGTTTCAGTTAGGGTCCTCGCTCCGTCCCCACTCATGTTCCTGACTCAAACCCTGAAGCCTCGTTCCCTCTGCAGCTTTAGCAAATGGGACAAATGCAAACAGAAGGCAGGAGAGAGGCACAGCAGCGCCAAGCGAGTGTGCACGTGTGCCTCGCACGTGTGTGTGCATGAGGGTGGGCATGGGAGGAGGCGGGAGGAGTCATGGGAGGTGAGCGTGCCCAGCAGCAGGAGCCCAGCAGCGGGAGCATCGCCGTCCATGGGAGCCAGGCCACAGGCCATCGGCCGCGCCAGGGGGCTGCCAGCGAGGGCTGGACGTCCTGTGCCGACGCCCGGGGGCCAGCGAGTGCGGGTCGGCCGCTGCCTCTGGGAAGTGGGCCTGCGGACCTGTGGGTTCTGTGCAGCTCTGCCACCTTCTCTTCCAGCTCCTTGGTCTGCATCGGTGCAAACTGGAAGTCGCTGAGGTCACTGCCACCGTGCTCCTCCGGGTCATGGTCCCCCAGCTCAGCCTGCAGCGTGTAGGACCCCAGGAGGGCGTGCGTCACGAAGGAGCAGGGCAGGCGGCCCGAGGCGATGTCCTGCCGCAGCTGAAGGCACAGGAGGTACCTGCGGGGGGCAGGGGAGAAGGCCCGTCAGGCGCAGCGTGGAGGTCCTGGGGAAGCAGCCACCAGGCCACCCTGCACCCGTGGCCCAAGCCGTCCTGCTAATGAGCCGCCCTGCCCTGGCTCCTGGCCTGGGTGCAGCCACCGCAAGGGGGTCTAACAGGCCCCCCGTCTCGAGAACCACGAGGAGTCGGTCCTGCAGGTAACCCTCTAATCCCTGGACTCAAAACCGCGATCCACATTTGCACGTCCCTCAAGTCATAAGGCCTCATGACATTTTAAAAGCAGCTGCAGCGCCCAAGCACCGAAAGAGGAGCCCAGGTCACCGCCCAGCCCCTTCCTTGTCTCCCCGCACTAATCTCCTTTCCTGGAAAAGCAAAACGCATAAGGCGTTGGCGGTCAGGCCCTCATGGCCCGCTCACCCCATCTACAGAGGCAGTGAGCTCTGCCGACAAGGGCAGGAGCTCGGGGCGGGCACAGCGGGCTCGGGCCTCGCGCAGGTTCCCCACCCGTGAAACCTGACTTCTACCTTCCGTTGAAGGTGAGAATAAACATCTGATAACGGAAATGAAACACACTGCAAGTCACCTGGGAATCGATAACAGCCATCATCATCATCATCATCTTTGTAACGACAACGTTAAAGTTCTAAGCAGAGCTGTCATTCAGTGTTCCGCATGGTTTGACCACACACCGAGAAAACACCCTATTTTCAGTAAGTGACGTGCTGAGCCATGGTATTTAGACGAGGACGGGGCTGGGGAGACATTCCCTAGCTCCTTTGTTGACATTTTGGAACCTCATTTCTATCTTGAATTTAACCACTTACAACAGGACCGGCACCCCTCTGAACCAAATGGTCCCTCGCCCTTGAAGACCTTTTAGAGAGAATCATTTCCTTGTAAGATTATTTCTTTATTAGAGAGACAGAGGAAGCACACAGGCGGTGGGGAAGAGCAGAGGAGATGGGGCCGCGGGGAGCCACCAGGGGGCTCGACCCCAGGACCCCAGACTGTGACCTGAGTGGCAGGCAGGCCCCTCTACCACTGAGCCTCCCGCGCCCCGGGGGGCCCCACCTATTAGCAGCCAGCCACCCCCCGTACCCCCTCGTGAGGGGTAGCAGCCCACCCCTCTCGCACTCCGTCCCCCTGGAGGCCGCCTCTGGACCAGCCCTGGGCGTCAGACGGCACCACCCGGGGGGTTACATGTGGGTGACCGCCATGTCTGCCCCAGGCAAGGCGGAGACCGGTTGACGTCAGCCTGTTGCCCCAGTCGGCCAAGCACTTGCCACGCACGCAAAAGCGCTCCATAATCTTCTGAGCGGGTCACCTGGTGGGGGGCTTAGCGGGGGAGCGCCGTCGGCCCAGGGGTGACCCCAGGGTCCCGGGATCGAGTCCCGTGTTGGGCTCCCCGCAGGAGCCTGCTTCTCCCTCTGCCTGGGTCTCTGCCTCTCTCTCTGTCTCTCATGAATAAATACATAAAATATTTTTTTAAAAAAAATGATCTTCAGAGAGAATGAAGGCCACCCCTCCATGGCTACAGCCTGAGTGCTCGTACGCCCTGCAGGCGGAGCACTCCTCCTAAGGAGGGTGATGTTCCCTGGATCCCTGAAACCCCGCAAGCACACCCGCCTTGACTTTAGAAAACCCCGCTTCAGACCAGGGTTCCAGGGCCCCGTGACGAGGGCGCTAACCCGGAACAGCGCAGGCTCTCCTCGCCGTAAGGCACTTCCAAGACCTCAGCACAGAGGTGCTGTCTATTTCTAAAATCCTGTTGCTCCTTCCGGGTTGTGGCCTCAACGTGACCCTTCGGTCCTTTCTTCTGTTGTCAAAGATGAAGTCGAAGGCCCAACGGCGTCCCAGGAAAACTCCCAACGGCTTCCTGAATTTCCCAGCCCCGCCTTCTCCGCAGAGCAGGCCATAGCATTCTTCGAATATTCTGAACAGTGTCCTCAGACCCTCAGAAGCCACGTTACCCTGTACATTTTCACTCAGGTCACAGTGAAGGCTTCGGTCACAACACGGAGGCGACCAGGCAGGTGGTGGCCCCCGGCCGCCTGCCGGCGCTCTGAGCTCCCGGTTCCCCAGCTGGTCTCCCTTCTCCGCCTGACACACCGGGCTGCCCCAGCCCCACTTGGGAGACCAAAGCGCTCATGACACCGTAAGCCGCAGTCACCGGAGGACTCCCATCCCCACGCAAACCACTGCGGGAAGTGGGGGCGCAGAGAGGGTGCGGAGTCACGAAGCCCCAGCCGCAGTGTCCAGAGGCTTTCCTGGGGGGAGACCCTGCACCCACCCCGCCAGGTGGATGCGCCCCGGCAGCCCACTGGCGGCTAGGAAAGCTACTGGTTGGAGCAACTTTGGTCACCAATTGCTTAGTGTCAGAAACCCCAATCTAGCAACGAGTGGCAATGGAGGGAGAAAGGCTCGTCCTCTGCCCAGACTTGGACAGAGATCTCCAGCATTCCTCTTTCCCGCTGGTACCACAGGACCTGATGCCTGACAGCGATCTGGGACCAGCGCAAGGCATCAGGGCACAGAAGCCACGGGAACCCAAGGCAGAGGTTTTCAGGGAGACCCTGTGGTTCTCCCCGTGTTCCCTCTACAGTCCTCGGGGCCACGCCACCTGTGCACGGGCTCACCAGAGCCCGCAGGTCCTAGCACTGGCAACCAGGCTGAACAGGGCAAACTATCGAGGCCCCTGTGGATTCACACATTCCTTGGTGACTGTTCAGTCACTGAGCAAATGAGTAAATGCTCTCTCGCTCCTCAGCTGAATCTTTTATTTGCAACTGGAGCACATGGAGCACACGTGCACGGAGCCTAGATAGCCTCAAAGGAGACGGGAATGAGGGGGCTACTAAGGAAGCCTACCCGCCTCGATTCCTTTCCCCTTTGAGGTACAGGGACCCCAGAACTGGCTTCCTAAAATAACTCCAATGGGAGACTAGGACACAGGTACACAGGGGTTTTCAATAAAAAAAAATCTTAATATTAACCTGAAATATTAAATATCAACAATTTTTAGGAGGTAACATAAGAAACAAAGTTGGCAGCAATGTGACCTTTGTAATACTCCATGACTCAACTGTAAATGGAGAAGTTAAAAGTGATTAGGATTTTTGAAGCCAGAACCAATTCCAAGTATTTTGGAGTACACTCGTTCCCAAGGAAACATCTAGAACTCAGCTTCTGAAAAAATATCTTGGCTTTAATCCTGAAATCACCATTATTCTCCCAGAGAACAATAAATGAGAACTATTAGTAAAAATTTGTTTAAAATAGAAGTATAAAGTACCTGGTGAGATCTTCGGTCAACTGAGAAGGGTCAGGAGGATAAAACTTCACATTAAAGGTGAACAGCCAAGGAAGATCTGTAATTATCAAATATGGGTATTTATCCAAACAACAGAATGAGCATTTATTCTGATAAAAACTAAAGGCAAACAGTACATACATATAAGTCAGTTTGGAGAATTTCATTGTTTAAAGAAATCTATTTACAAAAACAATGAAAAATAAAAATTGCATAAATAACCCACTATCAGGGAACAAATTCACTTTATTTGAAAGAGAGCGAGAAAGGGAGCGGGAGAAACTCCAGCAGACCCCTCAGCAAGCTCAGAGCCCGACCAGGGGCTCGATCGCAAGACGCTGAGATCATGACCTGAGCTGAAATCAAGAGTCGGAAGCTCAACACACCACCCCACCCAGGGACCACAGATTCAGTTTTTATAAACATGGACTAATACTTCCAATTTTTTGTATGGCGATATGCAAAAATTTTACTATAACCTCCACATAATTGTTTTAAGGTTTATTTTAATCTTAGTATCTCTACATGTCAAATATTCCCTACTGTTTTTTTTTTAAAAAGTATTTTAGGATTTGTACATTGTTGGGAGAAGAGAGGTAATGATCAATTGATCACACAGCTATTCAAGAAATAGTAAATTGATCACACAGCTATTCAAGAAATAGTCAATGGGCTATCTGAACAAGTGTTAAAAGAAATCCCAAAGGGAGAGAACAGAAAAACATCCCAATACTCTAAGACAATAGAATCACCCCTAGATTTTAAGGAGTGACTGTAAGGTTACTCATTGTATATAACATATGCTTTGCGCTATTTTGTGCCACAAAAACGGATATAGCCAACAACCATGTTGGAAATGACTTATTAGAAGTTAAAACACTGCTATCTGTACATTCACCTGTTATTAATGCTTGATGTGTCATGCCTTGGATGGCTTTAAAAAAAAAAAGAAAAGAAAAGAAAGAAAAACACAATTCTGGGCAGAGGGCAGGTATTTTCCTAAAGGAATCCAAATAATTCCAGTGGCCAGAACTCAGGGTTGTGCTCAAAGTTCACAAGATTTCCAAATACAAACAAAAGTGTGTGCACGTTATTTCATTCTGTCTTTGACAGGCTCATGGTTGCTTTACTTGGACTTGAAAATTTTATTGAATCCTATGTTGGGATTTTATTGAATCCCATCTTTTCCAATATGTCATTTGTTTTTTTCTCCCCATCAGTACACTAACTTTCCTTTCACTCAGAAGTCAAGGAAGACTTCTTAACATGAGCACGCGCCTGCCTGGACAGGACTCCGGGGATAAGCTGCTGATAACAACGCTTGTATGTTAGCATTAATCATGCTACATTGTGAATTCAGTATTATCACAAATTTTACCTAGTGAAATATGAATAGTCCATTGAGCTATGGACCATTTATATAATAATCACATGCAGGTCTTATTTGTGTACATCTAAGGGAGACCTTGAGGCAAATTTTATTTTATTTTATTTTATTTTATTTATTTTTTATTTTTTAAGGCAAATTTTAAACAGGAACTAATAGGCTGTCAGTTTTCAAAAGTAACTGAAAATAGATGTTTACCTTTGCTAATCGCCTATTCACTGAAAAAATAACAATAAAAGTATAGCAGTGGCTGCGCCAAGATAAAATGAGCGGTTCCTGGGTTCCTTTTAACACAGGCAGAAAGGAAGAGGTAAAGGCAACAGCTGAAACTCCATTTCCTCAGCCTACTTTCCCCTCCAGACAGCACAGGATCCCGTTTAGAGAACCAGCTCCAATCCTCCAAAAAAAAAAGCCAAATCCTATTTGTTACTGTTATTCCTCTTGCCGAACCACAAGGGCAAAAGTCCTGAAAGAACTCTAAAAAGCTTCACCGATCACCAAAACACAAGACCGTGATTCAGAATCAGCAAGAGTCTTGCCTTCCAGAAACGAGGCATCTCCACGCCTAAGGAGTGGCACACACACATTTTGCCGGAGCAAAACCACAGAGACAGCTCCATGGAACCTCAATCCCGTTTCGGAGGTGACCCCGTTTTACGGTCTGGGTCATGCGGCAGGTCTGGTCTCTGATAAAGTGCAAGAACCGGGCGTCCGCACCTCCTGAACTCTCGCCTCTGCGGAGCACAGATCCCCTGCACAGAGGCGGGGGTTCCGAGGCATGCTGTGCGGCTTCCTCCGTGAGTGAGCAGAGCTTGTGTCCCTCACTGCTCCTTTTCCCTGTGCCCCCCTTTTCCATTATGAGCCTAGCCTTAGTGGGTGAGACGCCCCGATAATCAACCTGGCTGAAGAGGAGCAGGGGTGGGGCTCCAAGCCAGGGAGACCAGGCGCCCCCTTGGCTGGGGACTGCAGGCCTTGGGCCCCTGTCCTACCTCCTGACAAGGCCATTCTGTGCAAAGATCCTTTCTTTAAAAAGGTAAGGAAAGAGGAGTCTACAAGGAGAAGAAATGGGAAAAATAAGGTGTATGTCAGAATTTTAAAAAGGAGCAGAGAAGACATGATAGGAAAACTACCAAAAAAATTAATAATTTCAGGGAGGGAGAAAGAAAAAGCAACAAAGAAAACAACTGTGGAGAATCTAAAAGGAGACTGCGGGCAGACGGCAAGGAACAGAGGGAACCGCACGGATTCACTCCGGGGTGCTGGCGTCCGGAGTGACAAGTCACAGCTGAAGCCACCTGTACAAGGGGCGCCGTGCGGCTGTCACCCGGGGTGGTGGTGGGGGGCCAGCTCTGCTCATTCAGCCGCCCCGAGGCAAGGTAAGTGCCTTCTGGGCACAGACATCCTGACGCTGGTGTTGGGGGCGGGGGGGGTGGGCAGCAGGGGCAGGACCTGTGCGGGGAGCGGGGCGGGGGCACCTCAAGTCACCTCGGGAGTCTAGCGTGTGGCTAACGGGAAGGACTGGCTCAGAAGCCAGACCCGAGGGCTCGCAGAACAGCCCTGGACGGTGCACAAGGGGGTGGAGGCGCCGCCCGTCCACGCCCCTGCCCTGGAGCCTGCACCCCAGGACGTCTGAGCGGTGTGTCTACGCCTCTGGGCCAGACACAAGCCTGTTAATCAAACCAATTACACACTTCCAAAACAAAGTAGACAACGTGAGCTTAACTGGTCACCTAGAATAAAATTTACACCAACAGTGAAAGCTCGAGAAAGCAGCTCCTCACTCTCGTCCCCAGAGAGTCAGTGGTCACCTCAGGGGGCAGACGCCAGGAGGGAGGTCGAGGACCAGGGGTCTAGTATCTGTCCACCGGAAGGGTCCCTAGGCCCCACACAGGATAAGGTCACAGTCCTACACAAACCTTCAGCACCCTTAGCTTCCCTCAGGGTACAAACGTGCTCTCGCACGGCCTTCGTGTCCCCGTCCACAGCCCCGTGGGTTTCATTCAAGACAGACAGAAGGAAAGAAGAACTCAGAAGTATGATTATTTAAATACTCACTTCGCAGTTGTCTCTTTATTTCTTTCGCAGGATCTAGCCAGTTCTACAGGAGGAAGGGGAAGAAGAAGGTTCATTAAGCCATAAAACATATTCCAGAGTCCAAAATGGAACAGTTTACAGTTTACATACTTGAGCATAAACATGCATTCCTACGCGAAGCAGCTCTCACCTATTAGCATTCCATTGGGCTAAGTACTGATTCGGTTCTGAACGTGCGTGTGTATAAATAAAACATTAAAACACTTTTAAGGTTGGTCCCTTGGGCCTCATTTTCTTGGATGTGAAATCAAACACGTATCCCGGTGAGGAGACCCAACACACCTACATGTAGTCTTTGCTCTCAGCAGAAGCGCCAGCCATCAGCCCCTGCGGACACTGGAGACGAGCGCAGGTAAGGACCGTGAATAGCTCGTAAAAGCAGGTACACCCCAATCCAGAGGGTCATCCCAACTCCTAAAGCCAACTTCTCCTCCCCTTAGAACTTCCATTCTCCCTGCACACGACGCTCTGGAGAAGGACCTTCAGACCAGCTGACGGCTTCCTTCCTGCTCCTCATGCAACATCCTTTTTAAACTTCATGCCAAGCTGGAGGTCCAGTCGTCAGGAACTCCCTTTCCCTCCCCCTTTCCACCCTTTGAGAGACTTAACATAAAAGATTCTGGGAAACTAGTATAGGATCTTAAAGCGAAAATGGCCAACTGTGAACTACTAAGTCCACACCACCTAAGGACATTAAACACTTACCTCTCAGTTATCAGCAACATATCCACCCAAAAAAGTGTCTAGACATCTATTTTTGTGCCTGTATTTCTTTGTATTTCCTCTGCGTTCCTCAGGTCCGGCCTCTCCAAGTTCACCCTACCTTATCTTCATTAATGCACCACAAGCACATTGTCTAAGATACAGCATATCGACTGAAATAGTCGAGCTTTAGACAACCTGAAGGTTGGGGGTGCTGGCCCCCACTCGCAGGCAGGAATCCACGTGTAAGGTGACCCCCGCCCATCACGTTGCTACTACAGCTGGCTGCTGACCAGAAATCTCACCAGCAACGTACACAAGTCACTTAACGCATATTTTACATGTTCTGTGCGTTGTACACCATGTCCTCGCGACAAAGTAAGCTAGAGAAAAGATGCTGAGAAAGTCCCGAGCGAATAGAGGGCCGTCCTGTATGTATTGAAAGAGCTCTGCACCGAAGCAGACCCTGCACAGCCCCAGGTCCGTAATCCAGGGTCCCCTCTAAGCCGCTTTACAGCCACCAAGTTTCCCCTGTGACCCCGAGGGGGACCTGCGTCCTGGTCACTCGGGGCCTCCTGCCCCTGACCCCCACCCCTGGCCTCCGCCCAGACAAGGGTGCCCCAGCACCACCTCAGGGTGTTCACAGACCCCACACACGCTCTGCGGCGCTGACCATGCCGAGGCCTCGGAGGGACCGACACCGCCTGTGGCCTCTGGTCATCCTAAAATACAAGTCCTAGTATTTCTATTAGAGTTGCTTTTATTTGCAAATTAGGTATTTATTAGTTAATTAGCTATTAAGTAGCTATTATTAGAATAATTAACTACTAACATCCCGAGTGGGATGTAATTTTATCATCTGGGGTCATAGATTCATAAGTAAAATGACATAATGACATAAAAATGACATAAAAATGACATAAAAATGACAATGTGACTTCTAAAGGAAATACAACTCTATTATCTATCATCTACTATCTATTATCTGCATTACCAGTCACAAACTAATAACATATATGTAACAAATACATAACAAATATTTAACAAATAGACTTCCTGGTTTTGACACTTGGAAAGTGCTGGATGGATTAAGAAGCAGACACAAAAAGAAGGGAAAAAAATCTGAGGACATAAATGCGCACAGCATACGCATGCCCATGCAGGACCCACACGCATGCACCCCACGTGAGATTACAGTGCAAAATTCCTATTCTTTCAAAGACTTGGCCACCCCACACATGGACTTTGGGATGGATGCTACGGGGAGTCCAGCTTGGCTTCCACCAACTCTATGAACTGGGGCTCCCCTCGGGCTCCCCGGAGGCTCGGGTCTACATGAGGACCAACACAACCTCACAGGGTGGTTCTTTTCAACCATTCGTTCAAATGCTTCCTGGAGAGTAAGTGCAAACGCCAAGTACCTCACCCAGCACCTCTAACAGATGATACATCGGCCTATCACCTTTGGGTATATATATCCCTTCTCACATAGTTATATTACTTTCAAAGGTGATAGGCTACCTGTATTAGAGAAGTTAATCTTTATATGAACATTTCTACCCACAAAAAAGTCACCAAATCATTCACTCTATACTCATGGGCCACGTGGAATAAAAAAATCAGACCCCTTGTCCTTAGAGACAACTGTCTGGATAATGCCCGCCCTTGAAGCTGTCCCACTGTAATGAAGAATCCTGCTGTAAGCAAAGGAACATGAGCAGCACAATCCCCTCTCATGAGAATAATCACCGATAACTAGTCCCTATGCTTTCATGTACACAGTAATGTATTACCTGCTAAAAAAGACAGATTTACCCATGGCCCACTTGAAACAGCCTCCTCCAGGGAGGTGGCCTGAGGGTCTCTACTTTGACAGTCCCAGGCAACTCATAATCGGGCAAGATGGGGATTTTCCTCAGTGCTTCCCAGACTTTAAGGTACAGGCAACAATGCAAAACTAAAAATAACTAAAATCCAGATCGGAATTCAACAAAATTTATCTTGGCTTCTTAGAAATTAAAAGTATTTTGGCAGCTACACTTAGGGGCAAGGACATTCATTCACTCAATTTGGTATCCTTCTCCTCACCTTCCCCTTTTTACCCCCACTCTGTACCCAAAGTATGAACTCATCATGTACTTATTTTCTGAATGAACATCAGGTGAACCAAGGAATAAATAAAAATTGCAAGGGAATCCTATCACAGATTGCAACAGAAGTAAATTAAAATGGGGTCCTAGAGTCCAGTGTTATTAAATCACCTTAGAACATGAAAGTGGAAGACTTGAATCAGTTGGTGGGGGAAGATAATACATCTTTACTTTCACTAATCTCTAACTGAAATTTAGCATTAACCACCAGTTATGAACATAGGAGAAAAAATCCTAGTTAATATGAGCAGTACCATTAGCTTTGTCACTCATGGGAATCAAAAACAGTTCCCTATCCCATTACGGTTGCTGCAGACCTTAAAGTATCTCTTAGGCTACCAATATTTTGAAATCACTGTAGGGATTAGATGCTGGTGATCATCCCAAATTTAATGAATATTTTGGAAATGTTATTTACTGGCTTCCCTTATAAGCCCGTGTATAACTTTATTATACAGTTAAAACCCTATTCTGAGAACTCAGCAGCCCACAGAATTCACTAGGCTGCCAAAGGAATACATGACAGCAAAAAAGGTTCAAAACAAAACAAAAACCTGTCTCAGAAGGTTACAGAAATCCAAGGAGCAAAGCAAATATCTGTATGCGTATTTCTTGTTGCACTGAAGTCCTTCTGTCCCCACCCCACTCCTGATCACTACCAACCTGAGGGCAAAGCACTCTTGGTTAACCAAGTCTTCTCTACCACATTTAAAAGGGGTTAAAGAAAGAGGATTTTCAATTATCCTCTAACAACAAAAACATCTAGAAAAAGATGGAAGCCCTGATTACAAATGCTGGTGTTGGGAGAAATGTCAGAGGCTGATGGTCTAAACGTCTGCGCACGGTGGGAATGGTCTCCCTCCCCCTAAGTGCCTATGGCTGCGAGAACACGTCCGGAAGCATGAGCCACGCGGGGTCCCCGCTGCCTTGGCTCCTGTAACGCTCCAAACTTCTACAATGCTGTCACCTCACAAGAACATCTGATCCCCTACGTGAGTGCTTCTCAAACCCTGAGAAGGTTGGAGTCATCCGAAGATCTGGTCAAAACACGGACATCAACTCAGTAAGTAAGGACCTGGAGTCTTCCTTCCTAACAAACTCCTAGGTGGGACCAATGCTGGGGGCCCCTGACCATCCTTTGCATAGTACAGCTGTAGACTGCTTTTAAGGTCTTTTCCCGAAAGTTGAAGGTTGAAAGACACTTTTCAAGACCTTTACCTGGCTTGCCAGGTAGGTGCCCAGGCTTCCCTGGCTCCTGCAGGAGCCCTAGCAATCCCTGCCCTCCACGTTTCCCTTCTTTGGACTCTGCCCACCGCACTGAACAGCTGTACCCAATAATGCCAAGTCCCGCGGCCTCTCCTCCACCAAGGTGCTAACCACTTCCGGCTGACCGAGGAGCCGCAGCAGCAGCCTACTAGTGGCCGAGAGTGTGGCTGCCTAGGCCGCGGGCCACCGAGAAGAGTGGACCTTGACACTGGCCCTGGAAACCCTCACCATATCTGCTTCCAAGTTCCTTGCTCCCCCAAAACACCCATCTTGCCTGCTTCCCTTTCAGCCTGGATGCTAGGAGCCCAGAGTTAGAGGTTTTCCAAAATGCTCAGCTGTGCCTCCCTTGCTCACGTTTGTCCATCCAGCCGGGTGAGAGACATTAGATCCATCCGACCTTGTATTACCAAATGTTAAAAGTATAAACTTGTCTAAAAGCTGCGAGTTCCCTTCAGAATTCACCGTGCTGAAGCAGATCCCTCCGAACCTTGGCCGCAATTAGGCCTAATGGAGCGCTGCCCTCGTGCTGGCGTTGGCAGAAAAGGGACAGGCTTTCTAGGTTTTGGTGACATGTTCACTACGCGTCTGGGAGGGCGGGATTCTAATTTCCACCTCTGGTATTAGAAGCTGCCACTGGACTGAATACAGATTTCATTAAATACTTTATATGTGACAAAGGGTTGTTTGTGTTTTTAGTTCCAGTTTCTGGAGGGAAATGGTCAGACTATCAGACAAACATTTTAATCAGTTTTCATAAAGTTAGCTGTCGATATCAACGGCACTTTTAACAAGCTCCTCTTTCAATATGGCTTGAAGCAAAGGAACATTTAATCTCGGGGCCAGGCGCCAAACTCTATTAACATCAAAAATTCAAGACAATATTTTT